GTTTGTAGGGGTGATTTTACTCCCTAATCACGAATATCACTCTCGTTTTGTGCAAAGTCATCTGCACGTGTGATATGAACGCCATGAACTGTCATGGGAACACTCGCTCAACTTGTCAGTAACTGCTCACAAGTTCTTCGTGCAGGTATTTTCAGGCAAGCGTTGATTAGGAAACACTGTTTGAGGTCTCTCTAGCTATGTTGCCAGACAAAAGCAAAAGGCAAACACGATAGGGGATTGATCTCGCGACGTCTCGCCTCAGGTAGTTAAGCCATTCTGCTTCATAACCCGGCTTAGGAAATAGTTTAGCAGATTTGGAATATAGATTTGAGATCAGCGTTCAAAGGCACATCTAGCGTATACATCTCTTTTTGAATGGCCATGGCGACCTGGGATCCATTCCTTGTGAGGAGGATCACCGAAGACACGCCAATAAGAAGAATTTATTTACAGGATGTATAGAGCATGTTAGTGATCAATCCCAATCAACGAACTTCTTGCAATTGGTAACAAAGTTCGAGCATCGCAACACGTTGAATGTATCCTTTGGATGTGGGAACGGATTGCATATCTTACGAGCTTCTGGCAACACGTCCTCACACCTTCGCAGTGACGATTTTGGATGTTCCACCTAGAACAAAGATGTGAAATTAAAGCTAAGAAGACGCACCACCTGCTTGTTTCAAGCACTATAATGAACGTGAGCAATAGTCTTGTACAAAAGTCCCAGACGGTAGTGACCTATCCTTACTGTATAGTCCGATACTAGCGATGGTAGCTCTGACAGTGCAATAGAAGCAACGGCGAGCAACTTTAGAGGCAGACCCAACAGGATCATTATCCTATCACTGAAAGCTTAGAGATCGACGAAATTTTGGAACACTTTTCGGCAACACCTTCCTTGCAAGAAGGGAATTTGGAAATAATCTACAAGAGGAGGGGAGCCGAAACAGACCAGGGGCTCCTAAAAGTCTCCCTCGAAACTTTAAAAGAGCTCTAGTACTCGAGCGGGAGTAACTGGCTCCGCAGAACATGCTTCCTCCTAACAGGCATTGGCGTAGATCTGTGCAAGAAGGTAGAATCGAAAGGAGGATTTGACATTTGAGCTGCTTCAAACGAAGAAGGACCACTTCAAATAAAATCTGATAGAAGCTGTTCTCTAACACAGACCAGTGAAACAGTAACGAGCCCAAGCGCGCTTACAAAAGATAATCCGTTCAAGGTGAAAAAGAAGCACTGGGAGTGGGATGTGGACTTGACGTTCGATGGTCTGCGGTCCCGTTGTGAGGAGCAGGTTAATATGATCGTGTTGTGCAAGTACGGACAAAGCATAACAAACCACGCCCGGCTGAACAAAGTTAAGGACCCACGAGATAATCTCGTTGGCTTTAAAGGATTAGCCACTAATTTTTGTTGTCCTTCTGCTTACGCAGTGAGCGAGCTCTGCAGGTGCGGTGGATGACAATAGAGCATCCGCTAACGAGCTGCCCCGCCTAGCCAAGAAAAGAACAATACATGGTAGGTGTGTTGATGAGGGAGAAGCGTGCGAGACGCGACATGCGGACATCTAAAGCTCCTTATCTAAGTTGTGTGAAGCTGGACACATTAAGCCTTCCATTAGGGCGTCACGTGGTAAAGAGTGTAGAGAGCATGCAACCCTGAGAAAGCAGCATCCCTGCGAAGAGATAAAGAAATTGGGCTCTGCAGAAGCAAGTTTCCCCAGAAGGGCCAAGCCATCAAGAGAGAAACGGCTTTTCACATTTCGCGTCTAGGAGAGGAGCGAGTGCAACCAGGACTGTCGAAGATAATGTGAAAAAAGTTGATGCCAGTTTAGGGTGCTAATGATCCGTAGGGCGGCATGCGAAGAACCCCAAGATAAGGCCCGATTCATAGTTTAGCGATCTTCCCAGTTTAGAGATTCTGCCTAGGCGCCGCAGCTAACCGTTCCCTGAAACACATGGTAGCCATGGAGGATGATGAAAACCTAGTACAACGTGCCTTCTATGTCTTTTTCATCTCAAATACCCACATTACGTATCCTATGACAAACGCTCGTTTGTCTGCATCATACTACGGATCCTCAGAGTCTGACGCGATTAGTGAAAGATGGACTGGGATATGAGTCACGGGGATCCACACGACAATGAGGCTCTCGTGTAGGCCGCAAAAACAAGGTCCGCGAGGACGAGTCGCAAAGCGCGCTGTGGCAATGTAGACGTACAATGTCCATCATTTTAACTAACCTCTATTCACTACATGCGCGGTGTGAACTCAGTCCGATATGCTCGCTCCTTCTGCCGCGACAATGGTGTCGGGATGTGGCGTAGCAGGGCGCTAAGAGGACTCCTGTTGGGTTCCCGGGTCACTGAGCTTTCAGAATAGATACGGTATGAGTAGTGAAATCGACACAAACCGATTATAAAAGATTGTAGAAAAGTTACCAACTGTTCCCATTCAACTTGTTGTCAAATATCCTCCCACAAACAGAAGTGTAGTAATTGAAGCACTTTAGGTGTTCAAGCATGTCAAACAAGAAGTTGCAGAATGTAGACAAGGGGCATAATATTGGAATGGAGCTACTTGAAATTAGTCTGGTACATCTTTCAACCAATCAGAAAAACCCTATTGTCCACCAATATTGGATAGCTGCCTGGGATCTGCACTGGATGACATACCCTCCCCTTCAAAAAGCGAGAAAGTGTCGGGTGCAGACCATGCACCACAAGTGACGACGGCCTTCACAAAATGTTAATGTTTTCTGCCAATGAAATGATTAGCCTGTTGCAGTTGTATTCTATCAGTTGTCACTAATTACAACTATCATTTACCAGAAATCAGCTATCACTATGAACAACTTCTAACCAGATTTACTTGGAGGCCGTCGTCAGTTGTGGTGTTTGGTCTGCACCCGACACTTTCTCGCTTTTTGAAGGGGAGGTTACCCACGATTTACTAGAACCCGTGCCCATTTCCGCAACAGTTACTATTAACATACCGGTTGTGCTGGTGTCAACTCAGGCAGGCAGAATTGCTCAAAAGCAAAGCAGAACTGCAGCAAATCTTTTTCGATTTTTGTACCACTGCAGAATTTCGGGTAGTGCTTGTAATACCTGTAATAGTAGTTTTAGCATTGATAGAAACAAATTCAAAAAAAATGTTTGGGAACTACCGTTGACAGTAGGAGAGTACTGGTATGACACCATTTGTCGATGCACATGCTGATGGGTAAGTCTTACAGAAGGGGACCTAAATAAGAATCGTCAGCTGAGTAATAAGTGCAGCTTCATAGTACATACTTCTCTCCCTTAACTATCAAATGAAGGTTTCTAATGCACCAAGTAAGTTAAATTAAGTCTGCTATACTCATAATTACCAGCGGATTTAACCAGATAGCGACCAAAGCACTACCTCAGCTTCAGGTACTTCTCCATGGCAATTTTTC